TCGGCTATGTGTATACTTATCATATGTGCATCTCGCAATCGTTTGCACCTCGCATGATATTTGTACGATCGACTCGCGCGCCGGTAAATTGTCCTTTGAAAAATGTTTGTTCGCTTTGTATATATGATTCGTTACATATCGTACAGACAAAGGTATCATCACTCCCATAGGTATCAAAGAGATTGTACAGCGATTAAAAACATTGCTCCAAATGTTCATTCTCATTCAACTTTTCTCGTTAATTTCTAATTTCCTGTGCCGTACGCGTATCTCTAAATATAGCGGATAAATTTTATGAACGAAGCCGCGGCGGGGAAAGAATATAAGAGCATCTGCGATTTTCTAAGAAAGATCGGTGCCTGAGCGTTTTATATAGTAACGAGCCTTTTCGTCAGACTGATATTCGTCCTACCTAGCTAATTAACGGTTAGTCAATCGCGGTGGATGTTTTGCAAATTGTGTACAACCTTCATCGAGATCGTCACACCCACGACCGGAACGACACGATCAACTCGCACGCGATTTTAACAACGCATTACGAAAAATCAGTCTGCATTTAAAAAGCATAATTATCTGAAGTAACGCGATTTTAAATACGTCTATTATAGTTGCGTAATCGAGTACGTAATATTCATGGAAATTCATTTCGTTTGTGAAATATTATATATATATATATATATAGAATGATTCTAGTAACTTAAAATTGTTGGCATAAATTTCATAATCTCAAAACGATAAATCATAATTAATTTTTCTCTACTTTTTTTTTATTCTAAAAGAAAGTTATAATCCAATCCAGTTTACCCAGTTAGAATCATCCTGTATATTCAATTTTCAAGCGTAAAGATCTCGTCTCGATTCGCTTCGCGTTATTCAAATCATATACGATTTTCTGTTCAGCAACGATATATTTCGTAAAGGAAAAGAGAGAAGCTCGGAATTGAAAAAAATAAATAAATAGAGGCGAACACGATCATTCACATATTACACGCATCTATCGAAAGAATATTTCCATCTATAGCATCTAAGTTTCCTGGACATTTTCATCGTTCTCGAATCTCCTCCTAGACATCGATGTAAATAATTATTTTATATTGTTACAAAATAGATCGATTAACAGAACGAGAGGGACAGATTGTATTATATTTCGAATCGGGATTATACGGACGGTGCCGACACGCGGTGCATTATCTCTGTTTCCGAACGTCCATAATGTAATTAAGCGCACAAAAAGCCGATTAACGATTTATGTGTCTTCTTCGTGTTTAATCGTGACTTTATTAATTAAATCTTAAACGTCTAAAAAGCGTCTGTGTTTTTGCCTAGGTACCTCTCTCTCTCTTTATCTTTATCTTGGCGCTAAGAGTCAGCTCGGAGAAAGCGGCGGTTATCCGCGTATAAAGTGAATCTACTTGTAAAATAGATTAATAAAAACCCCGTAATAAAAAGATATACATTTTTTTGCTTTATAAAATAAACGGATAAATATTATTTAATGTTGCGTTGCCACTGCGTGTATTTGTGTTAAACTAAAGAATTATATATATTGTATATACTTACGCATTTGACGGTGCATGTACAATGCCGGAGTATTGTTATGCAATTTAAATTATCAAGAAAAATCTTTTAATACCGACATAAAAAGTGAAACGCGTTATCTCTTTAACAATAATGTTCGGTGCTTTATAATATGTGTTCTTTTACCTTTTAATACAAGTTTCGACGACGTTCGACGGTAAACGATAGAAAATTATTGCATAATTTGAATGGAAACGAAATCTTTTTTTTACCGATTACAAAAGCGAGATACTCGTCCTCTTTCTTTTATGACAACTTTTTTGAACGTGTTACGCAGATTTAATGATTAATCTGACGACAAAAGAATAGCTGGAATATTGTCATTAGGTTCAAGAAAGGAAGAGGAAATCGAACATCTACATACCGAGGTAAAACACGCAAGAAAAATTCGCCACATTTATTTTTAAGTTAATTTATTTAACAAATTAATCTATGATGTATTTCGCTATCGCGAAAGAAACAATATGAATGGTCGCAATTTGTTATCGTATAGTCTCATTCTTTAGTACACGAAATATGTTACTGCATATGCACGAACTGTTTAAACTAGCATAATTGTAACAAATATAATAATAATTATTAAGCAAATGAAACATTTTTCGTGATATTAGATTAACCAATGCGAATCAACAATTAGGTTCAATAATAGCGCGAATTTGATTACGGATCGTTTAGAGAAGAAAATATTCCGACATGAAACGAGAGTTGATTTTGCGGCTTTCCAAATTTCGGGAAAAAAATCATTTTAATTACTCAGATAACATATTTCGATAAAAGACTGGAAGTATATTTTGAAAGTAAAAATTCCTGTTTCTCTTAAGCGCACTTATCAGATGCGCTCTATCAGACAATCGCAGTGATATTTCAATAATATCTCCAATAGTCAATCTTCTAACTTTTGAAATTATTTATATATAATATGTTAGTTCTCAACATGCAAAATGGAAAATAAAAAAATGTGACGAAATATCATTTTAATTATTCCTTATTATTATTCACATGAAAACAGTGTGATAATGTATGATAGTATCTATAATGTATATAACGATTATTACTAGTAATACACATTAATATTTTTTAAGAACTATTCTAGCATTTTTGCGTTATGCTTTTTTTCTCGCCATTGTAGCAGTAAGCACTTAGCATATTTCAAGTAGAAATCTGTGTTTGGAATAGCTTTATTTTGATAAATATAAACGTATGAAACGCCCAATCATATACACAATTTAACGGCTAAATCCTTCGTAGTGTGTCCTCCAACATTTAGCAGTCAAAGGTAAAATGAAGATCGTTTTATCAAACGATCGACACATTAAATCGATCGTTTTGATAAAACATAATCATTTTAATATTTTAATTATAGAACGTCCAACTATGTCTATAATTATCAAAATCGAAGCTATAACACTTTGTTAAAGTGGAGTTTTGTTAAGGCTACAAAAACGTACGAAAGTAAAAAAAAAAAAAGAAGTTATAAAAATGTTGCGTAGGATGATATTGGATGAGTTGGATCTCCAATTTTCGTACGGGTTTGTGCGCAGCATATTACGAATAATCTTCAATTTTTTATATCTTCTAGATATATTTGAAAGATGCTAGGCAAACTGCTTCCTATAATTCGAATGTTATAGAAAAATCCTATCTATAATAGGAGACTTAAAGTAATAAACTTAATAATAATCGTAACTTAAAAAATACTAAAACATTATATTTATAATTTCACGACTTAAAATTCTAAAGTATAATTTTACAACTAGACAGTCTTTTTTGGTAAAACATTAATATACAATAGAATCTAGGAATTTCTCAGAATTTATACTCTGAAAAATTGTACGACTTGAAATGATATCTAGTTTCGCATCGCGTATCCATAAACAGCCTTGCGATATATTCTCGTTATTGTTCTACCATTCCTATTATGCCTATTATTCTTCATCCTATGTTTGCTAAATACATAATTCAATTACCACGACTAAGAATGTTTTATTTGTATTTAACATGTAATATATAAATCTTAGGTGGATTATTTTTCGTAAGATACGCTCTAGCACATCAAACATATGCATTAAATAATGCGAAATGTACATCAAACTTTACGCATTAAACAATGCGAAATATGTATGCGAAATAGGATATTTTGTCACATATTTCTATTGAATTCTATTTTCTCGATGTTCTATTTTTATGAGGAATTAGATGATCATTCATAACTACTCTTAACAAAATAATATAAACTAATAATTCTAACTTAATAATTCTAAAAATGCATAATGTTTATTTACATTCAGAGAGAAAGAGAGAGAAAGAGAGAGAGAGAGAGAGAGAGAGAGAGAGAGAGAGATTCACGAGAAGTAAAAATAACTATTAGAGTATAAACGAATGTTTGATACATTGATTTTTACAATACGTAGAATACATTTAAAATATTACGAAATATGGATAATATGTATAATTTATTACTTTACTTTTATCAGATAATCAAGAATTATTTCAACATATCCTAATTTTGAAATTTTTTACACGTCAAAAATGAAACGAATATCCTTTGATATCTAAATAATAAAAGGAATTATGTCAATTGACCAAAGGTAATTTACATTCGTTCATTTGACAAGACTGTGGAATCAATCTCGACATTTATAATCGTCATGTCCTCGAAGTTCATTTGCAATATGACACGTATGCTTTAATTCTTCCATTACGATACTCTTTAAAGTACTTTAGAATACTTAAATTTTGTCACATAAATGTGAAAAATTTAAAGAAAATATTGCTTAAGAAATTCACATTTTGCGTGATAGTATCAATTTTAAAATATCATATAGGTAGGGCAAACAAATATGAAAAAAGAAATAATACATCTATTATTGTACACACAGTATTTTCTATATCAAAAAAGCCCAGTCGTCTAACAAAGAAAAAAAACTTATGAAATACATTTACTTAAAGAAAAGAATAATTGTTTAAAAAAGTTTGATTTATACTGATAATCTAAAAATAAGCTTAAAATAATCTAGATTAATATAAAAGGTTACATGTATGTAATGTTTCATGAATCAATAATTTCATGAATCCTCGTATTTCTCTAATGAAGAGAATACAACAAATGGCAGAAAAGATTTTTAATTCTCACGTAAATTTACAAACGCGAAATTTATCATAAAATGAGCAAGAAAATATATTCCCTGCATTCAAAATCATTTAAATTTGAATAAGTTCATAAGAAAATTTATACAAATACTAGTAAGTTTAAAACAAATGTAACAAATGTAAGTAATAGAAAAATGTGTAGATTTTCATCTCTGAGAAAATCTGCAGAAAAGCAGAAAAATATTTGATATTTACAACATTTCGTATCTACGTACTGTTTATCTTAAGATGACATGATCTAACTTAATATGAACAATTATTACAGTTGTTACTAAATTTGACAAACTTTCATAAAGTTATATTGAAAATTTGCATCAATAATTTTTGTACAGTTTTTTACACATAAAATAAACATACGATATGATGATATGTATTTTTACTCCGATTGCACATACTCCGATAATGGAAATCTATTATATAGTCAAAATATGTCGGAAAGAGAGTACCAATGAATACATTAATAGTGTCCAATGCATTTACATTTAGAAAGATACTTTACAACATGTAAGGCGCCAATCTTTCGTGTCTTTGCATGTACAAAGTAGTTGAATCATTCGGTAGTAGTAAACCAGTAGTAATAGCAATCGTGTTTGGTGCTCATAATTGAACAACAAATTATATGAGCTTAAAGATATATTACTTAAATATTACAGCGAAATTTGGCTGCCGAATGTGAACGCATAAAACACTATTAGTGCATTCTGTACGTGTTAGTCACAAAATCTCTAAGTAATTACAAACATATATTCATTATAATTGTTATATTTAATATTCAATATCTAATATCACATTAGACCTTAGTAAGTCGGTTTATAAACAAATCTCACTTTGGTAAAAAAGATCACTGATATCTCGATACCAATAAAAATATCTAAATTCCCTACAAATGATTTATAAATTTTTATCTATAATAAAAATTGGAGTATATGCAATTCAAGGTCAATTTTTTGTTGGTTAATTATATACATCTAATTATACAGTGTGTATTCCTTCATTTATGTTTTTTTTGTAAGTTCCTATATAAAAAAGTTGGTTAGCGAAGTTATTATATATATTTATATATGGAACTATTCGGAACTATTAATTTCCGAGTGCAATAATTCTGCTTTTCATATTTCAAAAGATATTCAGGCAGACAGCATAGATATTCAAGTAATACTCGAAATGGTAGGAAAGTTTGCATTACGCTAGCAAACTTGGAAAGTCAATTCCAATTCAAACGCGGCTGCGTTCTTAAATATTGGATTTCCGCAAATGAGTTATCATTTTATATTACCTCCTCTATTACCTTTTTACTCACAGCATTTAATTTCTAATCATCTAATTTTCCTAATTTCTAATATTCTACAACACTTGCCGTGTCCTCTGTGCAAATTTCAGTACATCGAGGCATATTTGAGATGACGGTCGGATTCGAACTCAATGGATCATTTAACCCCTTGAGGCCCAGGAGCAACTATAAGTTGGTCTCTTGTTTACTTCAGAAATTACCAGTTCGATTTTCACGAAACGTGATATATGGAAGTTTTTGATTATGTTCTTTTCGATTCTGAGAAGTCAAAAACTTGAAATTCCAAATGACGGACATATGATCGACGTCAAAATGGATGAAAAATGCAAATATTATATATTACTCAATTTTCATTGAATTTACAACGTAAGGGTTTTTGACGGTATTCTTTCTGATTTTGAGGTCAGCAAATTGAAAATGGCGGACTTAAAATCGCGAAGATAAAATAAAAAATTAAAAAATTATTCGATTTTCAGAAAACTTGAATTAGGATGATTATAGTGGTACATGTCGTTTAATCTGAGATCAAGAATGTGAAAGTCAAAATGGTAGATCCAATATGACGATGGATCACTATCAGTATACTTTGTAGTATACTCTGCCTCTTCCATTTCATCCACACTGGATCTGCCATTTTTATTTTGTTTTTTAATTATGTAATTCTGAGATCAGATTCGAATTCAGCGACAATATTAAATTTTCCACAACTGACTCCTTTAGCAAGCTCAGGTCCTCAAAGGGTTAACTAATCGATCATTCTCACACGAAACAACACGTCACTCCAACGCGGCTGCATTTCTAAATTATATTTAAATTATATTTAAATTTATATATATTATACAATTATATATATTATATATATTATAATATTTAAGAAAGCTTAATTCCTCTAACAATTTCTTCCACATAGAAACTTTGAAAAAAATATATTAAAAATACTATAATTCTTTTGGAGGCTTCTACGGATGATTTCTTCAGAAAAGAGCTACGCGAATTTGCGGATTATCCGTGTTTTGAAATGTCATTAAAAAATACCATTAAAAATTTTAATGTGTAAATGTTAAGAATGTAAATGTAGTAGAATTTTCCTTCATTTTCTTGTTTCATTTCGTATTAAATGTCTATTATGTCTGCCTGAACGCGTCTCGTATTATGTACATGTTTGAAAAGCGGAATTATTAATTAGACTCACCGAGGCTAGTTCGTTTCGTATGAAATCATGTGTCTTTAAAATGTTCATGATTCGTTATTTTGTGTTCGTTTCCCATTATTATCAGGACTCGATGAGGTACTGCCGTTGCTACTAGTCTCCTGCTTGGTATGTTTAACTGCCAGAATACCCTCGTACAAAATACCATCGATATCTATACTAATTTCTAGTTCTCTTCGTTTATTTTCTAAAACAGAAAAAGAGAAATTATTTTAATAAATTTTTGCTTTACGAATGAAGTTCTTTGCGAATAAATTTATTCTTACGAATAAATTTAATCCCTAAACGACATATAATTGACGAAAGAAATTTTATCTTATATAATACCTTCTTAAATTGTGTAAAAAAATTGAGAGTAAACCACTAGACTCACCTCGGGAACTAGCCATTTGTTTGATTCGCAGCGAATGGACAATATTATGTGTTTCGTCATCAGATAAACACATTTTTTTTGCAGATGTGGGGGATGAGAGATCAGCAGCCTCTTGATTCCTCTTCGAATCCCCACCCGACGGTGGCGAACTTATGGACCTACTAGGGGTTGGAGAAGATACTGGATCCGTTCTAATGAAAACATTTTTTGCCATTAAGTTAAACTTTTTTCTCCCACCTCCGTTAAATACGAAAGCTGTTATTTACCTGTGTCCAGAATTTGCGAGATCCAAAGCTTCTCTCTGAGGTTCAGGGCTGCTTGTCGGTGCTAATGGCGAGTGGGACGAGGTTGGAGAAAAGGCTGGCTGTGGCATCCCTGGATAAATATTACTATTACCCTGATTGTACATCGTATTCCATAAATGAAATCCAGATTTAAATCCGTCCGCTGGCGGCGGTGTCGACGTGCCTTGGATCATCGGATTCGACATTACGTTTCTATCTCTCAATAGCTTCAGCATATAGTCTGAAACTGTACATGCTCGATATTAAAAAAAAAAATACGATAAATAATGAATTAAGAAAGATAGACATTGAAATTTCGGTATTATTCTGAAACGTATACACATTATAAAATTGATTGAAAGATTAAATTTTACAGGCAAATTTTTCTTTAACTGACAGCTCAACAGCGCCTGCTAAATTAAAGCAGCGAAGCTTCGCTTATTGGCACTGTTCCACCGAACATCTGTATGAGCTATAAAATGATCGAAAACTTGTTTGTTTAAGTCGGTGTTTCGTACAAAGCTCAAGAGATTCGATAGAACAAATGATCATGGCGATACACGCATGTTGGTTAAAATCATGTCAATGAATTTTCGAGCTTATGTACACAAATTACGATATATTAAAATGCAATGTGATAGATGTTATATCGAATGTCTAAACATATCACGATATATTTTGACCTTTAGATATTCGTTGATATCACGATTATTCATACCGTAGCAAGCAGCAATATTGCTGGAGGATATTCTACTGAATATCCGGTCGTCGCACAAGGAAACGATCGAAGGAGAGCCACGAGTGCGATCGAAGCGCGACGTTACCCAGATCGCTGTCGGGCGCAGCGACGAGATGGAAAGAGGGAAGGAAAGGGTAGGGAAATAGGAATGCTCGTTAGCGAGAGCCATCCGTTAACGCCTGTCTTCCGGAGGATCGTACAATCAATTATGCCTCCTTCGCTCTCGCATCATCATCTCCGGGGAGGCCCGGAGCACTACCTACCGATTTAAAATAAACCCGTGTGCTCTCTACCTCCTCTCGTTTCCTTCCACCGTTTTTTCTATCTCGCCCCCCCCCCGGATATGTTCCCCACCGTCGGGAAGTTTCTCATTTTCGCTCTTTCCCATACTCTCTTTTTTTTTCTATTTCTATTTCTGATACGACGTGTTACGAATTATTTTCACTTGTAAAAACACCGTAGACAATCGGAGTTTATTAACTTTATAATATAGCGGTAGCAAATATATACACCAAAAAGTGTGCGGATAAGAAATATAGAATTTTTAATCCAGCAAAATTCGCACACGTGCGAACAAGTTCCCTCTTCCAAAAAAGACAAAAAGTCACTTACGCTGATTAGGTCCTATATTTGGTGCAAGATGTTGCGGATGGTGTTGCGAAGCGTGCGGATGTCCGTTCACGACGTGATGCTGCGATTCGTTCGCGGCTACCGCCATTTGAGCGATGGAGAGCGGCATAATCGAATTCGGCGGCAGCGTGTTGTGCTGGTTGCGAGGTACTTGATTGTCAGAGTAAGCGTAATTGTTCCTACGGCTCTCGCGACGATTTGTCTCGATAGCCGTCTGAAGCTGTTCCTGGGTAGACAGGCCTTCCTTCTCTTTCTCATATGGATACAGATATTTCATGTACCTATCGGCGAATTATTCATATTAAATGTATATCGTTTGACAGGACAATGAAATTTGCGAACTGTAATGTGAAATATTCGCAAACATCGTAATGAGAATTTAAATATGTTTTTCATAAATAAAAAAAATGTATTCTCTCGATTTTTTGTTTTAAACGGAATCTTCTCTATAATTTTTATATGACGTAAAGGAATTAGTTCCAGATCACATCCTATTAAGATAAATTTCATTCATATTTTTTTTTCCAAAAAAATACTAAACGATGAATGGATATAATTAGTTTGTGTTTTCTTAGAAAGAGACGGGGAGATAGTTGGACGTCACGGTTCAAGTTAATCGACGCTGATTCTTGCCAGATGAATGCTGTCGCGATTTTGTTCAGGCCGACCGTATTTTCGTATTTTCTCTTCTATCCCGCGTACATATCGCTGAGGAAAGATAGCCGGTTGCCGGAATGATGGATGTGCCACCGCGGCGAGGCGAGGTGAGGCGAGGCGAGGCGAGGCGACGCGACGCGACGCGACGCGACACGACGCCGACGTTCCGTCGTGCACAAAGCGCGTTGCGCGGAGTTATTTTCACGAGCACACCCCTAGGCATCGCGCCCGTGTAATTCATATTAGCCCGCACTTATAATGTGTCGGCGTTCTCCATCCCTCTTCTCCCTGGCCGCGGATCCGCCGCGCGCATTTTCGCCTCCTTCTCTTTTCCATTCCCGCGATGCTGCGTCCTCCCTCCCCCCCTCCCGTCGCACGTCGCGCGGAGTTCGACCGCGGGATGAGCGGGATGCCTCGCGCCGTCGTCTTCTCCGACGAATCGCGCCGACGAATCTCTATTTAGAGACCTCTCTCGTCCTCTCTCCCGTCCCTCGGCGGGGAGACGAGACATCGCGAACGGCAGATAAATCTTCGTCGCCGCGCTGGATATGCTCGGTATTATATAAACGAATATATATCGTGCCAACGGTTCCAGGTTGTCACAACCCGCCCCGCGAGGTGTCCCGCTCGTGAAGGATCGCGCGGGGGATCCGAGACGTAGACGACACGTCGGCTAAGACGATGCACCTGTATGTCACGCCTCTAACTCGTCACCTACCCGTTGTTTTATCTTCTCGTCGACAGTGAGCGCGTAATAACACGCTCGCAGGCCCGTGCGACATCTCTGACTTTCTCGATCACCAAATTCGTCGGATTTCACGTTGGCTAATATATATTATGACTAAAGGGTAAATCGTTTTTAATTAAACTTTAACGCATGCAGCTTCGATTCGCGGGTTAATTACGGAGATTTTTCTCAAGCGAAAGACGGAGAAACGTATGCTGCTAACGATACAATGACTGAACGATCCGAATACGCGCGAATGAAGTATATGATCCGCTATCAACGGGCGGATCTTGTACGGCGCGCGGATGGCTTTATCGAACACGATGATCTTGACGAGACGACGCGCGTAAAAGTCACGACACGCTCTTAGTCATTGCCGCAGATTTCACGCTCGGATGACTCTTCGTCGGCTGGGACTTATTGTATGCGAATTACGGCGGGCCTGGACATTATGTCGGTACCTATAGGCAAGACCGGGGTCCCGGATGAGAAACTTCACGATCTACTTACTGAGTTCGCAAAGTAAACGCGGCGGAAGTGATGCTCGCTGGTAGCCGGAGACCCTTGATAATTTCCTGCCACAGCTTCTTATTGATTACTTCGACCAATCCACCTCGCTGTACCACTAATTTGTAAAGCTCGTAGAGATCCAATACGGATTTTGCCATGATGGGCAATCGGCTGATAGGTGTCCCTGTAAAATAAAGATGATTTTTCATGCATTTTACATGTACACGTTTAATATAAAAATAACGTTATTATTCATTTTGGAAAAAAAAAAAAAAAAAAAATTTTATTTTTTTTATGATCCTCACAATAAATAATAAATAAAATTATATTAGCATTATAATATATTCATCCATAAATTACGATTCTTACGTAAAACGTGCCTGAGAAACGAATATTCAGAGATATAGAGATTTCACAGGAGATTTTAAAGGATTTCCTAAGATCACCTCGAGATTTCGCAAAATCAATGAACGACTAACATAGTCAAACGGTAGGTGACGCAAACCGTCCTTTATCCATTGCGTGATCAACCGAGGTAGATTTTGCGATCGTCTTAAAGTACGACTAGCGTAAAACCGTTGGATTTTACGAGGTTTGTCCAGAGATATCTAGCGTGGGGCGTTAACAAGAGCAGTAACGAATTCGCAACAATCACGCGAGTGGCGCAGTCTTTTACGATCTTCCTTAGGGTGTATCGCGCCAGATATAAGAAATAAAAAAGGAGAGAGAGAGAGAGAGAGAGAGAAAGAGTAAGCACAAAACGGATTAAAAGAGTAGAAAACGAATGCGCGGAGTGGAATATCCGATGAGGTATCGAAGCGATTGTGTGTGTGCATTAAGTTATCGATTAGTGCTCGCGGGCAACTCTTTTATGAGTTCTTGCACGATAAAACGATGATACAAATTACATTCGTATTCACGAATTCTGACAACAATTGGCAACAAGTTCTGGTTTTGATAATATTTGTCCGATAAAATAAACCTTATCCAGCGCTAAAAATTAATTGAGTCGTTTTAAAGAAAGACGCGCGTTTTATGGAATATAATGTAGCGATGTTATGCGTTCAGAGTTACACGGCGTCACATGTGAAAGCCAATATCATTTAATATATTGTGAGAAATATTCCTCGTCAAGCGACATTCAGACAGATACCAAGAAATTCTTCAGTTAATTCGTATACCCGTATTACCGCCGCCTACTGTAGTAGCCAGGCCATCGAATTTTACGAGGTTGCCCGAGCCACGAGTTAACGGAGTGTTAACAAGAGCAGCAGTGCCCCGGCGACTATCGTGCGCTTAAACTACGTAAACGTAAACGCACCTTTACGAGCTTTCGAGTTGGCGTAATCTGAGGTTTAGAGTCGTGCATAAATGCAACCGAGCGACGTGTCTGAAATGAGTGAACGATTGAAAAATCTTTCGCGAAGCAAAATCAGAGCAACGCCCCGAATCCTAAAAGCGCAAGTCGTCAGGACACAAAGAGAAATTATAAATACATATACGTTCCAATTTTTCAATTATATTTAGATCACATCTTGTGTTGTTATCAAGCGCGTCGGCAATTCAGTCTCGTTTTTTTTTTTTAATTTTTATATCTCATCGTATGCGACTCCGAGGCTCGAAATTCCCCGATGACTCCTTCGCCGCGTGGTGGTCGCTGCTTTCCACGGAGTCGGCGAATTTTACGAGTTTGTCCAAAGGTTCGAGTTAACGGGGCGTTAACAAGGGCAATACTCGCGACTATCGCGCGTGCGGAGCCCGCTTTTGCGGCTCTTTACGAGCTCGCGAACGATTCTGTACGAGATGCCTCGGTACGCGGGAACACGTTATACGAAACACGCAGACAACACACAGGCGCAGATACGGACAATGAGAAGGAGAAGCGCGCGTTCGCGGAGCGGCGCGGCGCGGCGCCGTATCGCAGGATCGTTTATCCGCCATCGAGGACGATGAAGGGGGCTGCCGCCATTTCTGACCGACGAGAGGAGGCAATAAAACCGCGCTGCTCGGGGTAGGGGAACCAGCAATTTCGGGCTATCGAGCGTGCTCCCTTCGGGTTTATTATTGGCCCTGCAATTATTGTTGATATACGCGCAACCCGGCAACCCGCGCTTAATGTTCCTATGTAGGGCGCGGCGATAAAAGCTGCACAACATGGCGACCGATAGTTGTTCCCTCTCGTTCCTCGGGATCGCGCGAAACTCCTCGGTGAAAATGCAATCGATGGCGGCGATGCAGCGATGCGTCCAACACCAATGGATCTTCCTCTCGCTGTCTATGCAAGTTTAAGTTGGAGTGCTCCGTGAAATTTCTCGCAATACCAGTATTCTAACCAGTATAGCTTTCTCGAGATAAACCATAATATTTAAGACCAAACATATATAGTTCTTCATGGACAATTGGAGTAAAAGAGTAAAAGTAAAAAAAAGTAATGTGTAAAAATCACAGGTTGCTTTACTATATATAAATTTTTAACTTATTCGAATTTTTATAAAATCGTAAAGAGACAGAAGAGGATTTGCAGACTTACGTTCATCCTTCTTACGCGATGTAATATTCCTCGACACGAGATTGACGAGAAAGCGAGAGACGATACAAAACAGCGGGAGTGAATGCTCAGGAAGATAAAATAGTGAGAGAAAGGAGAGGATAGGGAGAGAAAGAGTAAAAGGGGAATAAGAGAAAGAAAGAGCGACGGACGAGAAAGAAAGAGAGAGAGAGGAGAGGAAGAGAGAGACAGAGAGGAGGAAGGGAACGTTTCAGGATGCGATTACGACTTTTCTTGGTAGGGCGTCCAATCAGCAGTTATTTTTATAACGGCCGCCGTCGCGCCGTGCCGCGCCATACCGCGGACTCGTCCAAGTAGTGGTGGCGAAGTAGCACCGCGACGAGCAACAGTGGCCATCGCATGTTGCTTTCAACGACCCAAAGTAGCCATTCGCTTCGCGTACAAGCGTTACGCGGTATCGCCGCGCGTTTCTCGCGGAAAAAAAAGCATATATGCGAGAGAGATTTTACGATAAAAATCACGCGCGGCGCGTACCGTCCGATTAGCCCTGGTTTCCCGCAGCGATAGCGACAAGATCCCCCGTCGTATTTTCCGCGATATCACGATAAAAGCGCAAAAAAGCATTGAACAAACGTTGTTCAGGACCAAACGGCTTGTTTTAGTGTTTCAAATGACAAAGCGGTGAAATTACGAGCTGTAAAACTTAACTAATTGTAAGACAACTTTCTTAGGAAGTTCAGGCGCCATCGTTCGATTTTGATACAATGTTTCTCTTAGAAGAAAAGAGAACGATCGAATTGAAAAAATGCACGAGTGAATGCGGCGTCTTGGTACCATATTTATCGAGTATATCCTCGCGAAAGGTGTAGTGGGGATAATTGACATACGAAACAAAATGTAACATTTTATGGGTTATTGCGAGGGAGCGAATAGATGCGGTGGGATCGAGGGAGTGTCCGATCTAATAACGATCGGTTACGTTAGAGGCCTTTATTAACACACGCATACACCCCTCGTGCCTGCCGATGTGCCGGGCCGGTCTCCCCGTGCTCAAAGGGGGTTTCAAACGCGCGAAACGGCTTTTCTCAGAATCTCGCGTGACGGCCCCGGAATCTATCGAATATAAGTCGTCCGCGTCGGTGGAATATACCCCTGCAAAATCGCGCGGCGTTTTTGCCAGTCATTCGGCTGCTCCCGCCGCGCCGAGGTAAGGGCTAATCTTAAATTCCAGACCCTACGACGTTTTCTTCCCTAAGCGCATTCCCTAAAACATCTTCCTTTGATTGAAGGTATCAAAATCGAGGGATCAATGCGACTTTTTCTTTGTATTTCTCTCTCTTAAAATCTGAACAAGCTTTTCGAATCTTTTGAAAGTGAATGCTGTACTTTTCATCGGGTGTTTTGCAAGCTGATTTGCGGCTTTGCGGTTCACGCTGTTATACGTCGTCTTCCTGTCTACTTGATGATCAAGTGTATAATCCATCATAGTGTGATCCACAGCGAGATATCTTTTATAGAAACTACTACTTACACGCATTCGCATCTCGTTTCCGAAAAGACTAAAAATCCTTTACGACGTAAAGTTCGAAAAACGAAACACAGAACCCGACACGGGAAGAGGAAGATCAGAGGGAAGAAGTGAGGAAGACAGAGACGATTTCTTATAGAGATGAGAGAGTCTCGCGCGGGTTAACTTTGTTAGCGCTTGGCATTATCAGACCGGCAAAAGAGATTGGCATTGCGAGGAATAGCTGGGAGGGGGTGGAGTTTCATATGAAATACACGTGACATTTACTGCCTTCACCGGCTGGGCCCCTGCAAAGACGCAAACGCATTATAAATAGATCTCCTCCCTGTTTACCCCCCCCCCTCTCTCTCTCCCTTCTTTTTTTCTCCGCATCACTCGAGTTCTCACTCCGGCTCTCTCTGGTCGAGAGGCTCGAAGATTAAGAAAGGTCCCGGGAGGAAAAGAGGGAACACGGTACGGCCGCAGCCGCCGCATAGACCGCTACAATCTGGTTTATAATCTTGTTAGGATTTCGCGGAAATATTGGTGTAATTTACGATCCGTCTTAGTGAAGTTAACTGTCGGAGAGTGCCGCAATGAAACGATGAAGGCATACGAAGGGTTGTGCGCTCAACGGCTACGCTTTTGTAGCAATGCTTATGGGTCTCGTCGTTGCATTTCTTTGTGTCCCCTTCTTTTCTCTCCCTTCTCCCCCC